TAGTCAATTTCTTACGACTTACAACTTACGACTCAGTCGTCTACAATACAGTTGTAAGCCGTAAGCTGTAAGAAATTGACCAATCACAATCGATTATTCTTCCGTGATTTGTTTGTGATTGATCAAGTTTATACGGTTTCTTGCTTACGACTCTATTGTAGACGACGCCTTAAGGTTTATCTACATAAGACGCAGACACGGGTCGCAGGTCACAGGTTTCGCGGAATTGACCAATCATGTTCGCTGATTGACTGATTTGACCAATGTGATTTATCAATTCCGCAAGACTTGCGACCTGCTGTGACCGGAGTTGCACCTTTTCGTGTCCGGCTTAATTTTTTTTGTTAAAATCTTCTCCTTTTATTAATTCCTTTCCACGGTCGCTAGCCGGGTTTTTTATATTCCCGACAAGATTTTCTCACGCATTCGCATTTACTTACAGTTTTCCCGGACTGTTTTCTGACTCGGGCTCTCACGCAAAGCGTATTATTTTGCGCCTGTCTCCGAATTTGTATTTCGCCGTGCTGTCGTCGAATGAGCATCTCAATTCGTACTCTGCACTTACCTGGTCATTGGCGCGATACGCTTTACCTCAATGGCCCCTCCAATCCGAGCAGAGTTCTCAGTTATCCCGTTTGGAATGTACCCAATGGCACGTTTTTTCGCACTGGACGATTCTATTGGTCCTGCTCCGAATTACTATCCTGGCCCAAACTTCCTAGTACCTTCCTCTAATTACGCACTCCGTCTCTGACGTTTTGTTCCTTGATAATTCGATGAGGGTGCAATAAAACAGTTCAGGATCCTTTTGCTGCACTTAAGTTATTAACTACTCGTTTATTGAACAAAACACTGTGTATATGAACGGGTACACTTTACGTTGTCACGCACACTCCTCACTGTGGAGGTTTAAACCCTTTGCTCGGCAGTGTAGATATACCCTTTGCTACTTAACGAGCCAAGTCCTATTTTCTTATTGACCCGGGCCTGGTCGCCGATCTAGTGATTTCTCTTCCGAGATTATCGCTATTCGAATTAGCGATTGAATGACTGACCCTGTTCCCGTTGGGCGCTCGCAATAAATAGGTATTTCTCCCTCCTGTCTTACCCTTATGCTCAAACGAGACTCAATCTTTCTGGAACGCGCCTGATTCTGGAAAGTTCTAGACTCTCTCTTTTCTCGACCTCTCCGAAGTTTCCTATTCATGTCTGCACCTAGTACGTTCGAGAATCTTTCTTTCATTAAATGCGTTTTATGTTCTCAAATCTATATATTTATTTATTATTATTACTATTACATATACTACCATGATCAAAAAATAACCGGAATTTTTAATTTAAACCTCGCGGGCTTATCGGTTTCGAATTCTGTTGTTTGTGTCACGTTGGCAGCACTGTTACGGACACCCATGCCAAGCTTCTGCTTATTAGCTGTTCATTTACCTTTATGACAGTGATTTCTTTACATCAAGTTTTTACGTCGCGGCGATTTTTACAATGGATTCAAAACTTGAACAACGGTCTTGCATTAAATTTTGCTATAAAAATAAAATTAAATGTTACAAAAGTGTTATGGTGACGATACTCTATCGAAAACACAGGTGTACCAGTGGTATGAACGCTTTAAAAGTGGTCGTGAGGCTGTTGAGGACGATGCTCGTCCTGGGAGGCCATTGACATCGAAAACTGATGAAAACGTCGATGAAATCCGACAATTGTTGATCGAAAATCGCAAATTGACGATAAGAGAGATAGCTGAGACCACCAACATATTCTGATCCGTTCAGAGCATTTTGCGTGAGGATTTAGGTCTGAGGCGAGTCACTGCGAGATTGGTGCCAAAAAAACTGAATTTCGTGCAAAAATTCTCGTGAGTTTCTCGTCAAAAACAACACCAATACCATTCAACACCCGCCCAATTCACCTGATCTGGCACCATGTGACTTCTTCCTATTCGATCGACTTAAAAAACCACTACGAGGAACTCGTTTTGAGAGTGTGGAGGCAATAAAGCTAAAATCGCTGGAGGCACTAATGGCTATACCAAAAACCGACTTCCAGAAAAGCTTCGAGGGGTGGATCAAACGCTGGCACAAGTGCATCGCAGCCGACGGAGACTACTTTGAAGGGGAGAACTTGAATTTTGAAGAATAAACATGTACTTTTCTTTTTATGAATAAATTTTGGTTATTTTTTGATCATGATAGTATATATGTATTTTATTTTTTTATTTTTTCCGATATCAATTTACAAGTTTTTTTTTTATTTTTTTTCTTACCTTCTAACGTTCTTATATATCTATCTTATGTAACTATCCTATATTTCTCGATCCTTCCAGAACGGATCGTTTCCTTCTACAGTTGTACATTTGGATGCGTCCGACTGTACTTCTGCCGCAGTCGCCGGTTGATGCGCTCGAATGTACATTAGGATTCGGTCTAGCTGCGCCTGCGCCTCCGCTGACCCGTCCTCACCAGATGTGCGCGCCTCGGCATTTTTGCTGCTGCCTGCCTCCGACCCTAGGGTGCGGCGCTGTAAGCCCTGCAGTTTCTGAAGTAGCTGGATCTGCACCGGATTCGTCGCCGGTCGCACTGCGACTAGCATCTGCGTCTTATGTAGATAGGCCTTTACAGCTTACGACTGTATTGTAGAACAGGCCTTAGGCCTATAATACACAAAATGACATAGGGTGCGTTCGCTTTGAGCGTTTACGCGCTTTGAGCGTCAGTCTATCTTTCTTTTACATTTAAAGAACAATAAAGACGGACTGATGCTAAAAGCGCGGAAGCGTCCAAAGCGAACGCATTTATAAGGTGCGATCAAAGCCTCACTGCAAACGTTTCAAAACATTGTTCTATCTTTATTTTCGTTAAATAAATGTAATGAATAAAGATAGAAAAATGCTTCGAAACATCTGCAGGGAGTCTTTAACCCAAAGCATAGTTGCATATGCATAGCATAAAACTATATGGACCAATGAGCGTCTAGCATTAAGTTGCCATATTGATGTACATAAAATCGTACTAGGCGCTCATTGGTTTATATAGTTTTTTGCTATGCATATGAACTTTATGTCATTTTGTGTAGTATTACGCATACGCTCGAAACTTACGGACCGGTTTCCACCATATATGTGTATATAATACTCTTATATTGCTCGTTTGGCTAGAAAAGTTCCGAAAATATCACAGTGCAGACGATATCGTTTTCTCGCTCTGTTAAAGGAAATGTGCGTCCTGCGCATACACTGAAACGTGGGAGTGGGGGGACAGGTAAGATGCTATGGGGATGCGCAGAAACCATATTATAGTTGAAGCAAAGCTTATAACGTGGCAATAAGTGTAAATAAATGTCTAATCGAAAAAGATGTTACTTGTGCAACCGCAAGCCGTCAAAAAAAGAACATATTTCTGTACATGGATAAGTCTTATAAAAAAATTATAAAAATAAGCATATAAATTTTGTAAAATTTTTTCCATTGTAAGTACACAAAATTAATTCTATTTAATAACCAATAATAATTATTTGTACTGGAACTGTTGAAATAAGTATATGTTTGTAAATCTTGTTTATTTTATTATAGTGCATTGTAAGATCTTAAAACACTTTCCTTAGACTAAATTTTAAAAGTAATATTACTCATATATTTCTATATATACATGCAATGACATGTATATAGTTATATTTATATCTATATATTTCTAACAAGTTACACATCGTTAATTATAGTTTAACAAGTTAGCTTTTATGAGTTATGTGGTTTATTCTTCCGTTGAAAATATCCGGCACTACCCAGCACTAAGGCTTCTTTTACATGAAGCGTAAGTTGGGTCCGCCAATCAAATCGTCTCAGCGTATTTGCGTATGATAGCTGAAACAAATTGAATGGTTGACGAAAGTTACGCTCCATGTAAAAACAGCCTAAGCCTTTTTGTAAGGTCTGCGCAGCCTACTCCTACCTCGGAATCTTGCGCATGCGCAGAACGGTCAATACGTCTATCGTCTGTCTCACTTCATCGGCGGAAAAACCGCTCATGGAAATTATACAAAGCGAGTAAATTGGGAGCAGTACTTATATGGTTTCCACTAAAGATCTGTATATATATAAATGGTTCGTTCTCTTTCCACCTTTCGCAACGTGGGCAATAGTGACTGTGGGCAATTGTAACGTGGGCAATTGCAACGTGGGCAAAAGTGACGATGGGCAATTGCAACGTGGGCAATCACAACGTGGGCAATAGCAACTCGTAGGCAATCGCAACGTAGGCAAAAGCAACTTGTGGGCAATCGCAATGTGGGCAATAGTAACTTTGGGCAATCGCAAGGTGAGCAATAGTGACTGTGGGCAATCGCGACGTGGACAATCGCAACGTGGGCAATAGTGACTGTGGGCAAACGCAACGTTACCAATTGCAACGTGGGCAATCGCGACGTGGGCAAAAGCAACTTGTGGGCAATCGCAACGTGGGCAAAAGCAACTCGTGGGCAATCGCAACGTGGGCAAAAGCAACTCGTGGGCAATTGCAACGTGGGCAAAAGCAACTCGTGGGCAATAGCGATTGTAGGCAATCGCAACGTGGTCAAAAAACTCCCATTCTTTCCAGGTCGTACTTAAGTGTCTTACGATAAACATGTTATTTTCCAACGCTCGCTAAGGTTTCAGTCTTAACTTTCTAGGAAATGTTATAAACTAAACTTCTCCCGGGAGAGAAACCATTAATAAAAACAAAACATAAATTTTTCTCAAAATTGATTTCAACACTCATGGCATCGGAATGGCGGTAAAAGATATATAGTTATACAATTAGATATAAAAATATAAAACTATATAGAAACAACGTGAATATATATATACTCAGCCTAGAGAGTTTTTATAATGACAATACTTATTGTTTAAAACGACCTCGCCATCTGCCAATGTGTGTTTTGAGCCTCAAAAATAAAAATAAAAGAAACTTTCACATTTTTACACCTTTGTCATTTTCTTCCAAAGTCTTTGCTCAGCTTACAGACTTTGCTCTTTTCTCTCTTTTTGTCGCCGCCCTATTCTTGGCTTTGTCCTGGTCTCCCGACGTGGTTTTAGTGACGCATCTCGACAGAATCTTCTGCTCTGCGTTGTCCCGTGGTTTCTCCTCATTCTCGGCCAGAATTTGTTTCGGTGGCTCGGGTCCTACGACCTGCGGTCGCAATGTCTGTGCCAAATAAGTTTGTGTCCAATAATTTCGTGTCAAATCGATCGGTGTCGAATCATACTGTGGTCAAACGGAACACGCCCGTCATGACGTTGGTGAAGTTTTATAGCAGGTTTAACAAAGAACCGAGAGAGTTATTGCTTATTACAGCCGAGTGTTGAACAAAGCTGAAAGGAATTATTATGTTACACGACGGGAATTATTGGCTATGGTAGATTCAATAAAATTTTTTCATCAATATCTGTACGGACAGAAATTTTTAGTTTGTACCGATCATGCCTCTTTTAGATGGTGTCTTTCAAGGATTTGGCGGGTCGTTGGCTCGTTAAGCGGAGAGACTTTAACAATATGCTTTTGTGATAGTCTATCGAGGCGGTCGGATGCACAAGAACGCGGATGGTCTATCTAGGCGGCCTTGTGCAAAATCTAACTGCAAATATTGTTCAAAAGTTGAAGTGACGGATGTTACAAAGCAGTAAGAACAGGTAGCTCGGATAATTTTGGAAGATCTTTCTGGGGAGTGTCGTAGAGATCAATTTCAAGATTAGGCTGTATCGATCATCGTGCAGGGAAAAGAAAAAGATAGACGTCCTTTGTAGGAAAAAGTTTCTGCTAAGGGCCCTTCATCAAAAATTTATTGGTCCCATTGGGACGCTTTAGTCGTGTCAAATGGGGTTGTAAATAATTACACAAATTTCTACAGTGACGGGGCACTCTAAGATACAAGCCCACCGCCTCCTGTGCCGGCCGGAATTATGTCTTTGTGACGGACACGAAAAGTGTCACGTCACAATATATATGTATATTACAATATAATAAAAAATGATTACACAAATTTCTACAGTGACGGGGCACTCCGTCAATATTATTGCGAAAATTAATGTTTAAATACGAGGATTACACGTCGCCAATTGCCGACAATTCTTAACATTGCTGCTCTCTCTCATCGTACCACGGTCGCAACAATCCGGGAGTGATATCGTTCGTAGATTGTTTGTATGTTGTTTTGCTTTTTTTTGTATTAATATTTGTTTTGTCGTACAGTTGTGAGCCGATATTGTTTTGATTTTGAGTCGCGGCTTACCCGCGCGAGCTACGAGAATATTAAAATATTAATATTGTATCCTTAACCTTTAGAGGGCCGGGATTTGAGAGGGCATATCCGCCTTAGTAAAAAAGTGGTAAAAAAGGTATTTTATAACATGGATGGCCATACACTAAGTGTCGATCATGGGTAGCGCCAATATATTGGCTTTCCGGTTCGAAAGGGATCGGCCCGCATATAAAATTTCTTTCACATCAATTTGGAAGTATAAATATGCGTTTCCGATGTATTTTTCGACGTAGAATCCAAATCTGATGTCAAAAATACAATAAACCTGAAAACAACCTTTATAAAATTACAAAAACTACTCTTTCTATCACGCAATTTTAATTTTTTTTAGTTGGAAGTGCAGATATATGTTTCCGATGTATTTTTTGATGTAGAATCAAAATCCAATGTCAAAAACACAATACACCTGAACATAACCTCTATAATATTACAAAACCTACCCCTTTCATCACGTATGATTTCGAAACACCCTCTTCTTTTGAACACGGGCTTGGGACCGTCTGTGGCAGAATTATGTTTCTTTCTTTTATTTTAATTTTTTTAAACCAATGAATGAATATAAGGCCTTACGAGCCGTTCTCAAGGTGTTGAGTGAGAACTTATACATGTATATATATATATGTATACACATGTAACGAATTCACTTGTAAATTTTTACAAGTGAGTTTTT